TGGTGTTGCATAAACCAGATCTGGCAAGAAGAATGATTAACTAAGCAGTGGAGCTTTCAGAGTGTGACATATCATATGAACCCCGACATTCAATCAAGTTACAGTCCTTACCTGACTTTATACTAGAATTGACTCCCCTCAAAGGCGAGCCAAATTTTTCAGCCGACGTATGGACAATCTACGTGGATGGATCTTCAAACGCCAAGGGAAGTGGAGCAAGAGTTATAATCAAAAGCCTAGAAGGCGTCTCTATAGAGCATTCCCTCCACCTAGGATTTTCAACGTCCAATAATCAAGGAGAATACGAGGCTTTCATCCCCGGGCTACTCCACGCTAGAGAACATGGAGCCATAAAGGTCAAGATTTTAAGTGACTCCCAACATGTCACCTCACAAGCGAGGGAAAATATCTAGCAAAGGGCCCCCTCATGATGAAATACTTAATCAAGGTGAGGAAGATGATGGTCGAGTTTGATGAGGTTGTGGTCCAGTATATCCTTAAGAGTGAGAATAGCAGGGCCGACGTACTCTCAAAGCTAGCAAGCACAAAGAATCCAGGAAATCACAGAACCGTGATCCAACAAAATATCCCGGAGCCGAGCTGCGTAATGTTGGTCATCAACTCCGAAGATTGGAGAAATCCCATAATTGCTTACTTAGAGAAAAAGATACTCCCCGATGAGGTCTTTGAGGCTATAAATCTCTTCATAAATTCGGTTTGGTATATAATCATTGAAGGACAACTGTAAATAAAGGGTTTCTATGCACCGATGCTCAAGTGCCTAGACCCGACTGAGGCAAAGTACGTCTTAACTGAGATCCACGAGGGGATTAATGGTCACCATATGGGGGCAAGCCCTTAGCTCAAAAAGCGCTGAGGGCAGGGTATTATTGGCCAACAATAGAGGCCGGCGTGAAAGAGCGCGTCAAAAGATGCGATAAATGTCAAAGGCACACACATGTCTATCATGCTTTTCCTGAAAATCTGAATACGATCACGACACCCCGACTGTTTTATAAATGGGGTATGGACATTCTAGGATATTTTACGCGACAGAAGGGCAATTAAGTTGGTTAATTGTAGTAGTGGATTATTTCACTAAGTGGATTGCGCCGAACCCTTCACCAATTTAAATTCTGCAAGAATCCAAAGATTCTTATAGAGGAACCTGATTTGCCAATTTGGCATCTCGGCGGAAGTCATCACTGACAACAGCACACAGTTTGCTGATAAAAAGTTTTAAGAACTCATGGCTGACTTCAAGTTGAAGCATCATTTTGTCTCAGTAGAACATCCGCAGTCCAATGGACAGGACGAGGCTGCGAATAAAGTTATATGGACTTAAAAAATGGCTTTTTGATGGAAAAGGGAATTGGGTGCAACAACTTCACCTTGTCTTTTGGGGATACAGGACAAGTACCCAAACTTTTACGGGGGAGACCTTGTTCCAGCTGACATATGGCTGTGAAGCCATGATCCCAGTCGAGATTGAGGAACCATCTTGACGAAAGATGCAAAGGCTAGAAAGAAGTGAGGAAGAAAACGACGTAGCTCTGACTGTGGAGCTCGATTTACTAGATGAATAGCGTGAAACACTAAGTATAGGGATGTAATGGCTAAACGTCTTACTGCGACACAGTTTAACAAGAAAGTCAGGCTAAGATCTTTCGAGAAAGGAGACATGGCGTTGAGAAGAGCAGATGTCGGAACAAGAATGCCAAGGACGAGAAGCTCGCCGCAAACTGGGAAGGTTCATACCGAGTAAAGGAAATCTTGGGCGGAGGTGCTTACACATTAGAGACATTATTGAAAAAGCCTATCAAAAGGACCTGAATTGCGGACAAATTGAAGATTTATTTCAGTTAGGAAGAGGCGACCGAGCTTTGGAACTCGGAGATGACCTTCGTAATTAGGATTTCTGTTTCTTTGCAAATAAGATGGGCCTATGAATACATTGAAAGCCCAGTCGTTGTTTTTTATGCTTTTCTTAGGCGCATTGGTGGGACATAACTATGAGTCCTTCACTATGACGCAACTACTTATGTAAAATGTTATCATTATCAGTGAAGGATGAATTTATCATGAACTTATCAATATCGTACACATATCTAAATAATCAAATAAGGACCTTGACGCATAAAGATTGGGTCCATAAAGATCGGAACTTCGACATACACTAATGATCTCAGCAAAAAGCCAAATAAAATAACGTGGCATGACCAAAAAGTCAATATAGTCGTGCCCTAAAGAGGGAAGTAGAAGCCAAAACTGATAACAAAGTTTTACGAAAGTGTAATTTTTGACATAAAAATCAGATCCAAAATAGTTAATCAAGTTGCAAAACCAAGGTAAAACGGGTGAACCAAATATAAGACTAGAAACCCAGCAATGTCTTTACAAATCCCAAAAGAGAACCGAAGTCCCCAAGCTTCACAGAATTACAAAATAAGTTAGCATACCGACCCTTCAAGATGCATTGGTGGTAGAAATATCTTCCCCATAGGTATTAGTTTGCCATCTTGGGAGCATCACCTGCATTCGGGGTGTAAGGCATAATGGAACCATATTTAACAAAGCAGCCAAGATCCATTCCATTAGTGACAAGATTGGGGTTAAGAAAACGAGCTTGAGCGATCGCGTTGCTGAAAGATTATTCTGCCACTTTCCCCAAGAAAGTTTGTGCCTCCTCAAAATTGGCTTGAAGACTTTTGTATTCGGATTGGACATTTTTGAGTTGATCTTATTTCTTCTTCATCATCACTTCAGCCGAGGCGATTGAGTTTTTTAAATCATCTTTGGCCTTGCCAAGTTTGTCGTTAAGACCCTTAACCTCGGCCTCTAGGTTAGTTTTTTCTTTGGTAAGTTCATCCACTTTAAGGGGAAGGGCCACACTCGAGGAACTCGATGACTCATAGCTCAAATGAAGCTATTGCAATGACTGGATCCGAGAGGTCATCTTCAAAGATTCCTCTTCCATCCATTTCAGAGCAGCCACCATGTCTGCCGTGAGTGGAGAATTCTCGATGAATTGGGAAGGTGGGCTCATTACAGCGTGAAGATCGTCTGAAACTCCATTCTTCCAAAGTTCGTTGGGCTCAAGAAACACAACATCTCCAAATGTGGGACCAAGAGGCGGAGGCTGGGGAACAAGTTGGGCTATCACGACCCCGGCTGATAAATCGCTCCCTTAAACCTTAAGCTTGCGTTTCTTCTGTTTCTCCTTAGCAAGCTCGCTCATAGTTGACTTACCCTTGGTAACATCCTTCTTAATATACTTGAGGTAGGAAGGACCCGTCATATATGCTGCAAAGAGAGAAGGAAAATCGTCAGAGACAAAGTAAGGAACATAATAAACCCGGTAAAAGTCGAGGCAACATACCAAATTGTTTGTCCAAGTCGGTCTCAAACTTATTCACAATTCGAATTAAGTCAAAAATCACATATTCTTCAATATACTTCATCGACGTGTTAAAAGCCATCCTCTCTACATCAGTGAAAGATGACTCGTGGGTCGAATAGTCCCTAGGATCCTTAAGATAGTGATGTCGGGTCCAATAAAGGTGGAACTGAGTTAGCAACCTCCCATCTCTATCTACCCTGCAAACAAACCACAACTAGTAGTCCGGGTGAATTGCCACCATAAAAAATTGATCCTTAAAGTTTTTGAAGGATTGAGTAAACACCAAAAAGATTCCGAGGTTAACCATGCTACGAAGGGTAGCCCAACATTTCCTCTCCTTAGCCTCGGATCTTGTCTGAGATGTGTAAACCTTGAACAAGAAGAAGGGGGGCATTGCATGGAATGCCGAGATATGTGCACACCTGCTCAAAGCCTCGAAAAAAGGCTCAACAGTTTGGATGGAGCTGAATGGGAGCGACGCGAAGGCGCTTTAACACCACCATTTGGAACTCGGTAAGGGGGAATCAAATTCCCACCTTGGTAAAAAAGAAATAATGGCGCTTCAAAATTGTACTGCTAAGTTATAAGGATGACCAATGAGAAGAACCTTCACAATTAGAAAGATTGACTACTTGTTATTCTGATTACTTTTTCTCGGCTGAGTAATAATTTTTTCAAGATGCAAATGTCTTAGAAACACCCAAGTTCAGCTGGTATCCACTTCCATCACTAGCCTATGCATGGCGTTTACCAAATATTACAAAATAATCATGTCATGATATCCATGATAGCAGCAACAACTAGTATAATACTATTTTTTTTGAAACCTGCAAGGAGCAATACTTTACCCTGGAATCATCCCTACAAAACTCTGGTTTCATAGGTTGTGATTTCCCTTCCTATGCCAACATATCATCAAATTGGAGTCCATTTTCTTCACAAGGTTCTCAATCATGCTACTCTGAAAATTCGAAGCGGTATGTTTGTTAGTCGGAGAGGAATACAATACTAATTTTTTTAATTAAAAATGATGGATTAATTGAGAATATAAAGGGTGTTTTCATAAAATCACTCACATTCCCAATAATATTTGACAATAAACCAAACATGAATCAGGAAACTTAACCAAATATTTTCGATAATATTTTATTCTACTAAACAGTTTTTTGATCACATTCCCAGAAAAATCATTTTTTCAGCATATTCCTGATAATCATAATTCCCAGGCATATAAAAATTTCTCCTCTACCAAACGGCCATAAGAGCTTAAAGATCTAATATTCCAAAATGTAACCAAATTACATATAAAAAGAGGAGCGTAAAATTGAATATTACTTGATTTGTCAAAGTCCTTAAAAAAATGAGAAAATAATATTGTAATTCCATAATATCGTTAATTATTGAATAAAATTGTATATTAACTTGACTAATAGAAAATGAGGTAAAATTATTTAATAGAATCATGATGATATTTTACAAAAAGTATAAAATAAATATAAAACTAAATTATCTCTTAACAAAATTGATAAGTTTAAATAAAAAAAAAGAGAGATAAGAAAATAATAAAATAAGTAGTTCTATTTGACATGTCGATGCTGAGAATCCGGTGGTGAAACGGAATGTACAGTACATCGAAAATGGCGGCACTAAGCTTGAATGGTTTTCCCTCCTCCATAAGAGTTGAATTTCCCTCTATTCACCTGAAACTCAAACAAGCACAGTTCCCATCCTCTTCGTTTCGAATCCCTAAGGTTCACACTATTAGTATTATCTGCTGTGCCCCAAAGTCAAATACTGTTCCGCATTCCTCTTCCTCATCCAACAAAAACAGAAACAATAAGAACAAGAACAAGAACAAGCAGAATAGCAATAAGAGTAACGGTGGCGCTGCTGATTCCAACTCCACTTCCAATTCTTCTCTGCCTACGCCATTACCGAAACCGCCAGCTGGATTTATTGTAGACGAATGCGGCAAGGTTCTCACCGCTTCCAAAGATCGACTCGCCACTCTCGTGAGTTTTGTTTTTGTATTTTTTTTTCTCTAATGATTGATTTTCCGTTCTGTTTGATTGAATTATGTGTGTTTGAAGAAGTAAATCGAATCGAACATGTGATTATTTGGCCGTATTCTATTATGATTATTGATGATTTCTTGAGTTTAATAGGAAGTTATCCCTAATTAGTCATTGTTAGAATGTTAGGGTTCTTATTGTGTTAAGAGTGTTACGACTTATGAATTAAGTTAAGTTGTTAATAGGTTGATCCAACAAACAACCTTCCACTAGAGGGTGTCATAAGGAGAGTGTTCAAGAGTTCTCAAGGTGATGAATGTATGTTGCTTTGCCCGGTTGACATGTAAGTAAAACGTTTCTACACTTGAATTTGGGTGACCTTTCATTTTATTATTTCTTGACTATAGACTCTGGAATTTTTATTGCAGGCCTGTCCAGATATTAAAGAGCACTGGTGTTGGATGGTCGGATGTAAGTTTCCATTTCCACATTCTGAGTCTGAATTTGTCTGTATATTCGTTGGTGCTTTACCGCTATTCTTGATTTAGGAGTAAATTTTCTTGGCCTATCCAATAAGACTTTTAAAAATTGGATCCACAATTAGTTTTGACATCCATGATACATATCATCTTGTACTCTCATTTTATATTACAAGTCTCTCTTGTTATTACCCTGAACTAATTTTGAAGTATCCACTCATCTTCACTAATAAAACTTCATTTCTTGCATTCACCAAAAAAAAAAAAAAAAAACCTTCATTTCTTGACTAATACAACGGGAAAAAGGATATTTCCCTTTATATTTCTTGGTGAAGCTTCATTCCTAACTCTGCCTTTATGAAATGTCAGACAATTTAATTTTGTTAAAAACTTATTTTGACAAAACATAATGGCATCTTGATTTGATCCATCCATGAAGCCAACCCCACCTAGTGGGAAAAGGCTTTTGTTGTTGTTGGAACTTCGTTCCAATTTGTGTTTTCGCTCTGTGTTTTAGGTCGGTGATGAGGAACTTGGATCTATTCTGCCTGCTGCTGCTTATGCACTTGCCAAGTTACGCATGTATCTGGTTCATAGTGGGTATGTCTGTCATTTCTCATGATTCGGAAAGAATAGAATTAATTATTTTGTTTGATCACTAATTATTTCTGTGTGTCGGTGTCCATATCAGATACTGTTATACTGCTCGTGGTGGTTTTTGTTATTCAGAAGAGGACATATTTGACTTTCATGCAGGCAAGAAATTCTTTGCATGTCTTTTTCACTAAAATAATAGCGTCTAATGCTTCTGACATCAGAAGATAAACAAAAAATAGGTTATGTTCATATTATTACAGAAGATTTTCTAGTCCACAACATGGCTATTAATGTTACAGAACTTCTACAGTTTTGGGGGTAATAGTTACATCATGGAGTTTGGACATTATATCTATTTACTAAAAGCTTGAAATTTGTTTGGATACATCCTGGTTAGAGCTTGGTCCTGCTGTTTGTTGGTTTCCCTTTGGTTTTAAAGCTGCCTTTCTGATGAAGATATAGCTTTCTCTTTGTTCTATTCCCTCCAGTCATAATTCTTGATTGCATTGCTTTTCGTGGGGAATTGATGTCCCCTTTAAAATTAAATTGGGTTAGCTAGTGTGCAAGCATGAAAGATAAATTGAGTTGCTAAGGATTTATTTATTGCAGATCTGTTTATTTCTGTATATTTTTGTGACATTTAATACCTTCTCTTGCATTAGTACTTGTACATTTAACTGTTAGCAGTATTCTAATTTTTTCTATCCATTACTCTCAGAATGCTGTATCTAGTTTTACCAAAACTAATATATAGTACCCTGAAAAACTGACAATTTAAAAATTTTGGAAGATGACTTATTTTTCTCTCCTATTCTATGTTCATGTGAAAGTTGAGTCAAGAATTGCTGTTTGGTAAAAGGATATCTTTCTTACATGCCTTTTCATTCTTGAAATTTATAGCATGTCATCTACACTCAGTGTTTCACTTGATTTGTTATAGTGTTTCTGCTTTTGATTTTGAGTGCTTTGCATACTTGACTCCCATTTTTCATTTTCCCCCATTGCCATGTCTGATCTTATTAAACAGATTAAATAGAAGGGCAATCTGTAGGTGGCTACTATCAATTTATTGCCTAACGTTGTCTCTTGCAGTATTTTGGGGTGATGATCAACTTATTACAATTAGGGCGTTATTCTAAAGTGATAATATGTTCTGCATAAATATTTGAATTGGGCACCCAAAATGTTTTCCATTTTGCAGATGGTAAAGAGGATGGCTTGCCGACTGAAGGTGTAGAAATTACTCACTTCAATATGGTAATCTTATTACCTTAATTTGCACAATTTATTATTATTATTTTTTAAGGGCAAACCTAGAGAAGTGGTAAAACTGCTCCTTTGTGATTGAAAGTTCATAGGTTTGAATTCGAAAAACAACCTCTTTGTAAATATATAAAGGTAAGACTGCGTACAAGGATTGACCCTACTCTTACTTACCCTCGCTAGTCGGGGTTTAATGGGAAGTGGTTTTATTATTTTTTCTTTTGAAAGTTTTATCTTTAAAAAAAAGCAAATCTGCCTTGTTATGTTTGCCTTTTTGTAATTTGGATATTTTGATATTATTTTAGCTAGGATTGTCATTTTTGATTGCTAGAGTTTTTAATTGTTCACTAGTATGCACAAAATGATTACTGGTTTTCTGAAATGAATACTATATATTAAATATTCCATTTTTTTAAAGGGGTGTTACGAATTTCACCTGTAATAATAAATTTGACCAAACTTATGAAGGTGAACAAACAAATGTGTTAGTTTGTAAAAGCCTTATCTTACAGCTTTTAGTTATAAATGCTTCTCTTGTATTCCAATATGTTTGTACTAAGTCTTTGGAATAATTGTAGACTGCCGATACTTTGTCTTATGTGTTATTGTTGCTGCTGATGTTTGTTGTTCACTATTATTTCAATATCAAAATTTAAATGCTTTTATTTCTAATATAGTAATACTTGACAAGGGAGAAAAGATTTATGGATTTTTTTTGGGTAATTCCTCAGCATTATTGAGTATATATAACATGATTTACAATGTCTAATTTTAGGAAACTGGGAAAACTAGAAAATAAATCAGAATATATATAAATAAAATTTAATTATTAACAATCTAACCCATAAATAGGAGATATTTTCCCTAAATAGGAGATACTTTCTAACACTCCCAATAGTCTGGAGCATATAAACCATATGCAGCTAGGTTGTTATCCGTAAATTTTTAGAGTGGCTTCTAAGACTCCAAAAAGACTTTGTAAGGATATATGCTAGCTGATTACTGGAGTTAACAAACTCAATAATGATTTGTTTGGAAAGAGCTTTTTCTCGAACAAAGTGACAATTGGTTTCTATATGCATGGTCCTCCAATGAGAGATTGGATTTGAGGCAATATGTAAAGTTGTTTGATTATCACAATACAATTTCATGTGATCAATATTACCAAACTTTTTTTTTTGGGTACTTATATTTCCAAACTTTAATTCATGAAGTAATTGTTTACCCATATAAGTTCACAAGTGGCCATTCTCATAGCTCGATAATCAATCTTTGCTCTTGATCTAGCAACCATATTTTGCTTATTATTTTCTAGGATACAAGGTTACCGCTAACAAAAACACACTATTTTAAAATAAATAGCCTATCAACAAGCACATCATCCCAATTTGCATCAGCATACCCCACAACTTGAGTGTTTCCTTTGTCTTCATATGACAATCTTTGACCTGGTCATTCTTAGTGTATCTCAAATTTGGTACCACACGTTCCGGGGGTCAACACACAAAGATTGCATGCATTGACTCATCACACCAACTCTAAAGGATATATCTCCTCTAGTTATTGGAAGAGTTTAGTTTCCCAACTAACTTCCTGCACCTTCCAGGATATGAATAATTCCTCCTGATCCGCTAATAGCTTGCTATTTGGATTTGTCGAAGTGTCAGCAGGTTTGTAGGTTAAAATACCGCTTTTTTCCCATTCCCGGACTCAGCTATCTCAATTCCAAAAAGTATTATATATATATATATATATATATATATATATATATATATATGTGCAACAGTACTATTATATATTTGCATGTTGTGTCCTAAAGATCATTGATGTATTGGTAAATAAACTTGACATTGAAAAAATGAAAAATGTCATTTGTTATCTGCATCCTCAAATTCATGCCTTGACATACTTTACGACTATAAGAAATTAAAAGTTATCTTATTCCAGAGGATGGCTGTGTGGTCCTAGTCATGTTAGCTTTCCTTTCTTGCATGAATCAATATGGTTTATACCAAGGGAATTGTATTTTTAACTGAAGTCACTTTAAGCTTTTTTTATTGCTTGTCTATAGTCATGAAGAAGAAAGCTTTATTTGTTAAGATGAATTTCTTGTGCATTTTGCCTCATCTGATTTTGTAAGTTTGCCAAAGTAACATAGCCGTCTAGCCCATTACTAACCTTAGTAGAACTATGGGCATGAAAATTTAGTGCATGCTAATATTTGGCAATTTTGTTGCAGGAAGGAGAACACTACATGATATATACACCTTCTGATCCGCTTCTTTTTGTTGCTGTGAAGGTAAGCTTCCATGTGCAAGTTTCTTAGAGAAATTATTGCCTCTGTTGAACTGTGGCGGCATTCCATTTACCCCTGACGTTTCCTCCCTATCAGATGCATTTTGTAGTTGACTGGAGTGGAAACTATTCAGAATACCAATGTTAATTTAGTATTGAAGTTCTCTTGGTTCCCACAATTTATCTAATTGGCATGAGAAACCGGTGTTCTAAAGCAGGACATAATTAATTTATCCTTTCATTGTGCAGGATCAGAACGGGATGTTGCAAATTGCCGATGATGTAAGTAGGCACTCATTACAGAATTTGGTCACTATTTCCTTTCTCAGCTCTTAGTGTTTCTAATAATTTGGTTTTCATAAACAATAAAATCTTCCAAACAATCTCAAACTGTCCATTTAATCTAATTGTTCTTATTTGTATGAGTAGCATAAGGTTTAATGTGTATCATAAGGTTTAATATCAGTAATAATGCCCCATTGGTGGATTCAAGTTCTGAAATCATGACCATAAGAGGTTGCTAATCACAACTTTTGTGAGGCAGGAACTGCTTGAGGATCCTGCTGTCATTAGCGCCATAGATGAAGAGACTGAATTTAATGCTTTGGTGGTATGTGGTTTTATCTTCCCAACTAACATTTGATTTGGTTATTAAGTATGATTCTATTCATTTATGTAGTTTGTGTTGTCTATGATTCTATTCATTTATGTAGTTTGTGTTGTCTGACAAGCAGGAGGAAGAAGCTGCTCTCCTCGACTCGCTGTTGGGTAAAAGATAACCAACCATATATACTTTCTGCACTAGAGCTGTCCCAATGTTTTGCTTGTAGTATTTTTCCTCTGGAATGCCACGACCTGGCCTAATTGCAGATCGGCAAATATCTGGGGGATAGAACGTCTCCTTTTGTGTATATGATCAATTTTGTATGTATGCCTATGATATATTTTAGTAAGGATTGAGTACAGCATCATTTATTTACGGCTCCTTTTTTTTTAGTGTGTTAGCAGGCACTATTCCATTACAAGTTTATAAGAAAAGAAAAAAGTTTCTAAAGAAGTACTTCAAAGGAAAATCATTTTAGAATTTTGGTATTTTTTAAATTAATTTTTTATAAAATTTTGCTTAGTGTAATGGAAGTGTTGAAAAGAGAATGGCGAAGAGTATAGTATTAACATTTCTATTTAAATTTTGTTTTACGCTCTTAAAATAAGTTGCATCAAGTTTTTTATTTTTTATTTTATAAATTTATATGTTTTATGTATTAATTTTTTCTTACCAAAAAAAAGGTGATCTATGAGTGTGGGGAAGAAATAAAATGAGTTGAAGTTGAGGCAAATAGTTTAGGGGCTATTTACATTTCATATCAAGTAGTCCCTAAACAAATTTGGTATAATTCAAGCTTTTTTTTATTTTTTTATTTTTTTTGCGTGTGGGTGTGTTTAATTAAGCGTTCTATTGCTTATTAGTTAAGTCGCAAAACAGATGAGCCAGTAATGAGTATTAGAGGTCATCTTTTATTGCATTAATCTGTACTTTTCTTTTTTGTAAAAACATTTATCTGTAATTTTACACCCGCAATGTTGCCTATGTCTTTTACCATGATATAATTTTTTTGTGTGTGTGTGTAAAATTCATACAATTTTGTTCATTTTTTTGCTTCTATTTTTGTCATAACCGGATACGGTCCTAACTCATTTCTAAACTGGAAACAAGCCCAAATCAAAAAAAGAAGAAAAAAAGAAAAAGAAAAAGAAAAGAAGGAGCTAGCTATTGTTGAGTGAATGTAGTGTGAGGGAGTTGCTCAGTCGCAGCTTAACTGCAACGCCAACAACCATTAGCTGCATACCCTCTTTTCTCGATTTCCTTTGCTATGATTTTGACAAGATGATGAATCGGACTCTGCGCTTTCTCCTTCTTCTCCTTCTCTGTTCCCACGTCCTCTCATGGAAGAAGGACGAGTTCAGAAACTGCAACCAGACCCCATTCTGCAAGCGAGCTCGATCTCGCAACCCCGGTCACTCCTCCCTCGTCGCCACCGACGTCTCCATCGCCGACGGCGACCTCACCGCCAAGCTCATCTCCAAAGATCAACCCCAAACCGAAACAAAACCCTTGATCCTCACCCTCTCCGTCTACCAAGACGGTATCCTCCGCCTCAAGATCGACGAAGACCCTTCACTCTCCCCACCCAAAAAACGCTTCGAGGTCCCAGACGTCGTCGTTTCCGACTTCCCCAACAAAAAGCTCTGGCTCCAAAGACTCTCCTCTGAGGACGGTCCTTCCTCCGTCGTCTACCTCTCCGACGGCTACGATGCCGTCCTCCGCCACGACCCATTCGAGCTCTACGTCCGTGAGTCGGGTTCGGGTTCGGTTAACCGGGTCGTGTCTTTGAATTCCCACGGGTTGTTTGATTTCGAGCAGTTGAGGGAGAAAATAGAAGGGGATGAATGGGAAGAGAGTTTCCGTAGCTACACGGACAAAAGACCCTACGGTCCTCAATCCATTAGCTTCGATGTATCGTTCTACGGTGCTGATTTCGTGTATGGAATTCCCGAACGCGCTACAAGTCTTGCATTGAAGCCAACCAGAGGACCCGGTGTTGATGAATCAGAACCTTACAGGCTCTTCAACTTGGATGTCTTCGAGTACATTCACGATTCCCCATTTGGGCTTTATGGTTCGGTGCCTTTCATGGTTTCGCACGGGAAATCGAGGGGTTCTTCTGGTTTCTTCTGGTTGAATGCTGCTGAGATGCAAATTGATGTTCTTGCCCCTGGTTGGGATAGTGGGTCTGGGATTGCGCTTCCTTCTTCGCAGAGCAGGGTTGACACGTTTTGGATGAGTGAAAGTGGTGTTGTGGATGTGTTCTTTTTTGTAGGTCCTCTTCCTAAGGATGTGTTGAGGCAGTACACGAGTGTGACGGGGACTTCTGCATTGCCTCAACTGTTCTCCATTGCTTATCACCAGTGCAGGTGGAACTATCGTGATGAGGAGGATGTTGAGCATGTTGATTCCAAGTTTGATGAGTTGGACATTCCTTATGATGTTCTGTGGCTTGATATTGAGCACACCGATGGGAAGAGGTATTTTACTTGGGATAGGGTTCTTTTCCCTAATCCTGAAGAGATGCAGAGGAAGTTGACTGGGAAGGGTAGACGCATGGTCACCATTGTGGATCCTCATATTAAGCGAGATGAGTCCTTTCATCTGCACAAGGAGGCCTCGGAGAAGGGATATTATGTTAAGGATGCCAGTGGCAATGACTTTGATGGTTGGTGCTGGCCTGGCTCATCATCATACCCTGACACGTTAAACCCTGAAATTAGGTCCTGGTGGGCTGATAAGTTTTCTTATCAAAATTATGTTGGTTCAACTCCTTCTCTTTACATATGGAATGACATGAATGAACCTTCCGTCTTCAATGGTCCGGAGGTATGATTGTTAATTATTTTAAGCATTGTTTCTTGTTTATTTTATTTTTCAGTTTCTTGGTTTTGATTTTGATTTTGGAAATGAGAATGTACGTTTGGAGTATTTTCAAGGCACATTCTTCTTCATGCTTTTGGGTTTGGGAAAAGGAAAATAAATCATATGCTTGTAAGGAACTCACTGTCGCTATCCATTTGCAAGATAATTATGAGTGATATGCTTATATTATTACAGATCTTATGACCTACTAAAACGATGAAGACTAACATTTGTTGTGTGTGATGGGGGAATCAAGAAGATTTGTAACAATTTACGCACATATTGACCTTTAATCATCAATGACATCATTATTTAGGATTAGCTATCAAACAAATGTTGTCTCTAGAGCATAAAGTCCAACAAAAGATAAAATACATATATCAACGTTACTAGAGCTGTAGAGGCCAATATCGTCTTACTTATCAATCACACTATAATCATTTGTATCATTTAGCAGTTGTGGCACCACAATGGTAGCCTGGCTGTTGTATCAAATAAACTTAAGGAGAAGGAGGAGGATGTGAGGATGATGATTAAAAATAGAACATCCCTGAGTGAATATTTAGCCAATAAAAGATCACACGAGGGAGATTCTGAAATTTGACTGAGTCCTAGCAAAGCCAAACCAATATTGATTAATAGATTTGAAAGAAAAGAGAGAACAGGTGGCTAAAATTGTTGGAGATTCCATGGTTCTGAATTAGCCATCAATGTCCTGTAATTGTACAGTAATCCAACTTCTGGGTGATGTTATCTTATGTCTGTACTTATTATCCTCATTTCTCATTATGTCTGTTTTAATATTTTAATCCCTTAAAGTTTTATGTCCCTTGAGAAGCAGAGCATGGATATGTGGGTTCCTTGTAATCTACATGTCCACTATGCTTTTTTAAACATGTCCCTTATGTTTTTTTAAATTCTAATGTCCACCTGGAGATAGGGAAACTGACCATATGGTTGCTTGCATTGTATCCAGTTGACAATGCCGAGAGATGCTTTACACTATGGAGGTGTGGAACATCGGGAGTTGCACAATGCATATGGATATTACTTCCATATGGCAACAGCTGATGGGCTATTGAAGCGTGGTGAGGGGAAAGACAGGCCATTTGTTTTGTCAAGAGCATTATTTGCTGGAACTCAAAGGTATGGAGCAGTTTGGACTGGGGATAACTCTGCCGATTGGGATCACTTAAGAGTTTCTATTCCAATGGTTTTGACCCTTGGTCTTACTGGGATGACATTCTCTGGTTGGTATTATTTTTCTCATGATGTATTAATTATTTCATTATTCTTTTCTTCAGATATTCATGGGCAATATACTTATTTACATGAGTTAGGATTTTCTCCCTTCTTGTTCTGATTATCATGTCTGATGTACATTATGCAGGTGCTGATGTTGGTGGGTTTTTTGGGAATCCTGAACCTGAGTTATTGGTTCGCTGGTATCAGATAGGAGCTTATTATCCTTTCTTCAGGGCCCATGCCCATCAGGACACAAAAAGAAGAGAACCATGGTTATTTGGGTAGGACTGCATTACTTTAAAATTTCTTCGTCCCAAAGTCAAAATATTATTGTTTGTTTTTGTTACTCCTTTCATTTGATACTTGTTCACCAATGATAAAATGGTGATTTTTTTATACCATTCTTTTCCTTGGTTAAGCGGTGATTGCATCTTAAAAATTAGTGAAAGGTGTTTTATATTAATTAGGCTATACTCTTTCAAGGGATGAACCCATCCGCAGGAGTGCTATGCATATCCTAGATGTAAATGAATTGGAGCTATATTGTATACCTAAATTATAAGTGCAAATTAGTATCACATGGACACACGATCACTGAAATCCACAATAACTCCCATATTGCTACACTGCCCCCACATGCACCGGGGGTTAATAAGTGGCGGCAATATTTGTTGAGTTTATAAAAATTTAATTCAATTCAGATGCACTGAAGTTACATATTGCATGCCTTAACTATGTTGGAATCTGCTTGTCAACATTGTGAATTGATTGTCCTTATGATATTGCAGAGAACGAAATACAGAATTGATTAGGGATGCAATACATGTTCGTTATTCGCTTCTCCCATATTTCTACACATTATTCAGAGAGGCTAACAGTACTGGTGTTCCTGTTGTCCGTCCATTGTGGATGGAATTCCCATCTGATGAAGCTACTTTTAGCAATGACGAAGCCTTCATGGTTGGGAACAGTCTTTTAGTGCAAGGGATCTATACTGAGGTGCTTTAGTCAGTTTCTGGATACATTTGTTTTTTTCAGTAAATCATTTCCTTCTTTTTGTGGTCCTTAATTGAAGTTTTTATGTTGCTTTGTTGCTGGCAGCGAGCTAAGCATGCATCAGTCTATTTGCCTGGAAAAGAATCCTGGTATGACCTAAGAACTGGAACTGTGTACAAGGGAGGGGTGACACACAAGTTGGAGGTTACGGAGGAGAGCATTCCTGCTTTCCAGAGAGGCGGAACCATTCTAACAAGAAAAGACCGATTTCGGCGAAGTTCCACTCAGATGACAAATGATCCCTATACTCTGGTACGTATTCATGCTGATTTGCTGTAATTTTTGTGAATATGCTTGATGCCAGCTGTCTCAGGGAACATAATTCTTGCCTTTTCTGTTTGTTGTCATATTATTAGGTCTTGTATTGCATTTCTATTCAAGCACTTTGTTAGACCACCCATTGCTAGAGTCTACTCTAGAAGGGTGCACAGGGGGATTACAACCCATGCAAGCACAAAAAAGTGTGACTTGCAAAAAGGCGGGGAAAGTTAGTTAAGGGAGTTGGAACAACTCCAGAGAGGAAGATAGATAAGGTAAGGGAAGAGAAAGGATAGGGTTAAGCAGGAATCAAGTGAGAAATGTAAGGACGAGAGTCCAGGCCTCATGAAAGTCTGCTTCTATCATCTTTTCCATTTTCGTTATGATTCCCATACACATGCTCTGATACCAGTTAGCTTAATTCAATCTCTACATTTTCATTCCTATTTTCGTCTATTTTCCCTTTCAGTTCTACCACCCTTTGCTGTCATAGACATGTTATAATAGAGTTTATGCTAGTTAACTCCTGAAGCTGGCCATTAGCAGGCAAACGACAAATCCCAGTACACAAAGGATTCCTGACTTTGCAATGTTAGAGATGAGGATCAATTATACGCGGCCTTACTTTTTTCATTTTTTCAAAAAGGCTATTTCTTGAAATCAAACCTTGGATTTTTGCAAAATGGCTATTTCCTGAACTCAAACATGTGACCATCTGGTCGCATAGGAGGAATCTTACCATTGTTCCAAGTCTTGCCCCTGCAGGCCTACTTTGATATTGAGGGAGAAATATGTTGCAATTTAATGTTTGTTTTGCCCAACTATCTTGATATAGAACTAAGATGTTGAATGGGTATGTGTACAATTGTGCTTTTTGCCTATTTATTATTATAATGAGGAGGATGTATGTAGTAGCACAAGGAAACTGAATGACTTTATGCATAGCTAAAAGAAGCTGCATGCCTGCACATGTGTGTAAATCCATCCAAGAAAAATCTGAATCTCATTTGTTCATTTCCTTGGATTATGCCTGATAAGTTTATCATTATCTTGAGTCCATGGATACTGACTATTTGAGTAACCTGATTGCTTATTTGTTGCATTCCAACCAAAAAATGTCACCTGTAAGAGTGAGTCGGGACATGTGTGGCTGTACCTTTGTAAATAGTAACGGAAAGTAGACTACTAGTTTACTTCATAATAAAATTGTTATCGCTCTTTGTTTGACAGGTTATAGCTCTGAATAGTTCCCAAGCAGCTGAAGGTGAACTCTACATTGATGATGGCAGGAGCTTTAATTTTCTGCAAGGGGCATACATCCATAGACGTTTTATTTTTTCAAATGGGAAACTTACATCTATAGACCTGGCACCTGCTACCGGTGGCAATGTTCACTATCCATCAGATGCTGTCATTGAGAGGATTATCCTGCTAGGACATGCTCCTGGCTCAAAGCATGCACTGATTGAACCATCAAATCACAATGTTGATATCGAACTTGGCCCCCTTTGGATTCAAAGGGCACGTGCACCAGCTGTCATGACCATACGTAAACCTAATGTCCGTGTTGCAGATGATTGGACTATAAAAATTTTGTAACATAATTTGAGGAAGGTATTTAATGTTCAATGTTACTGGCAGTGCAAAACTAGATTTGTTTCTGTAGTTGAGTTGATATGAAGTGGAACCGCAAACATTGGGGCAAGAAGAAAGAAAATCACAAGTCTACCAATTCAGTTTGAGCGGCTTGTTTAATGACTAGGATTTGAGAAAGATTAACATTGGAAGTTGTGATTCCATTGTTGCCTACAGGAATTAATTTGATAACGATAAATTTTTATCATCTACAATGGTGCCCCTCGTCCTTCGTGGTCTACTTGTGTTTGTCTTGGGATAAGATGATTTGATGAATGCAAAATCGAATTAATCAGTTATGGTTAATGGTTTGTTATTTAATTTTTTTTAAATAACATTAATTGACGAGACTTCTGTGAGTATATGCATAAAGCAATCATGTTTGTGCTCGTTGAAGATAAGTTTATCCTTCAAATTTATGGTTCTTGTATCTAGGTGCTGTTAACTGTGTTATTCGAATTATTTAGGAAGAAACAAGTTATTAATTTTATTCAGAAAGAAACAAGTAAAGAGGGAAAAGTCAAAACTCCAAATTTTGATCTTTTCACTTGAAAAAATAACTTGTTACTTTAGCTGAAGAGGCCATTCTCTTCTGTTTTTGATTACAGCAACTCTATACCTTTGTCTTTTGTATAGATTTCCTAAGATGAAGAATGAAATCGGTTAGTGTGTTCTGCTGCCCATTTTTGTTTGTGTATTTTGTTTTTATGCTCCTTCACATTAACAAGAAGAAGATGGCACCAATCGACTAGCCATTTGAATTTGTATCGCCATACATCTATAATTGATAAGAGATGCCCTCCATATATTGTGCCTATGAGACAATAGGGAAACCTTACAAAACTTTAAACTTCTATCAATGAATTGGATGAACTCCAATTTTCTTTATTCCATAACGTACGCCACCCAACTTGTGCAAAATAGACTAGACATATTCTTCACATGGCTTCATATAATTTCAATTTTCCAAGCTTCTCAATACAATTCCCCAACCCCCATCATTGGGCCTGCAAAGTGCTTCCCCGCTCAACCTTGGCAGCTATCACTTCCACTTTTTTGATATGGTTATTCTATGACATTTCTAGCCTTTAAGAATAGCAAACAAATTGGGCTTTTTGACCATTGTAGCCCTTATGTAATAATTATTTACCAAATTGACTTTGATTATAAACTATTTCAAAAATTTAACCTCTCCAGAAAACATAACACCAATCTGCCCCTGTTTGACCGTTGACCACCAAGCCTACCCGGGTACCCACCTCCCTACCCGGGTATATTTTGAAATTTTTTATCTACCCGAGTAGGAAGGGGGGTACCCGAGTATATTTTTTGAATCTGAAAAAATATTTGAATTATTTACCCGGGTAGGGAGGGGGGTACCCGGGTAAATAATCCAAATTGAAAAACAAGCAGAGATGGTGCCATGCCAACTGAAGAACAACAATTCCGAATTGAATTTTTGTTCTATAAGCTCCTATATATATTTCGGGTACATGAATTGCAACACGTATAAAAGCATGGTAACAGAGATTACTAACGTGAGCCGGTGGAGTGTAAATTTTCAATCTGGATTTTATATATAAAGAAAATCAGAAAAGTAATTATAACCTATGTTTTTGAGTTTTGTGGACACAAACCTCAGCTTTGAGTTTGACATTTTCAATTTGGAGTTGTTGTTCTTCAGTTGGCATGGCACCATCTTTGCTTATTTTTCAATCTGGATTATTTACCCGGGTAAATAATTCAAACATTTTTTCAGATTCAAGAAATATACTCGGGTACCCCACTTCCTACCCGGGTAGATAAAAAATTTCAAAATATACCCGGGTATACCCGGGTATGCTTGGTGGTCAACGGTCAAACAGAGGCAGATTGGTGTTATATTTTTTTGAAAGGTTAATTTTTTGAAATAGTTTCTAATCGAAGTCAATTTGGTAATTAATTATTACATAAGGGCTACAATGGTAAAAAAAGCCAACAAATTGCTCCCATAATTTTTATGCCCCAATAGCACTGTTATTTTGACGCAACTTGGCAGCTAATGGGAGCTTCTTATCCGTTAGCATCCATCTGTTTTCCTTCTCCCAGGTAAATCAATCCATAAACTGCAGCCTCAAAATACTCAAAAACTCCTAAAGTTTCTACGCATGGGAGAAGAGATTATTTAAGAAATTTAATGGCCTTATATAGTACATGGAAAAATATCAGGTTTCTGATGTCAATTTGATGGCATCTAATGTGAATTCTCTAATCTATTCATCTGGAAAGTTGTTTGGGTAATCAATTTGCCAACTGCTTTAATGAAATTAATAATTATTTATTCCATACTCATTAGTTATTTTATTCTAACTATAAATTGTGTGAAATTAATAATTAAGTGTAAGTGCCCCTAAAAAACAGAGTGAGTTAGTGTTTTCCCCTAAATATAAAACTAACAACTTATTTATTTAACAAAAAGATAAAATGTGTAGCCATCTATCCATATTCTTTTGCTCTCATGCAGCTTTAAGGCAAATCAATTTGAGAAAAGCAAGTGTCACATCCTTGTGACAAGCAATACACACAACTTGTTTTCTAGAGTTGTTGCTTAATACTACATTATCAATTTAAGTCATGTCTTGATTGAGCAAAGAAAATATAGTTTAAGATCATCCAAAATTCCTCTACCCAACTTAATATGTCATAATTCATCACTAAAGCATCCCTCCATGCTTTCTAGGCAATTTGCACGCTCAATCTTGCAGCTTGAAGCATTCTTTAGAGTTAGTATTTTACTTTTGTTTTCTTTGTTCTTTTTTAGGGTAAGATTTATGGGCTAGATTTGCCAAATCCAACTATACTAAGGGTCAGGATCAAATTCAAGTTACATCATTTTATTTTTATAATTCTTTTTCACTTAATATACAATACAAAGTTTCATATTTAATCTAAAAAATATTTCAATACTTAAAGCAAGCTAAAATAAACACTTTAAACTCAAGTTTCGTGAGAAAAATAATAGGCTAGGGTTCTAAAACTTTAAATAATATCAACTTTTTACTTACCAACAAAAAATAAAGTCATAAGGATGTAACAACTACCAAAATCTTTTTATAGCAAGCTCAAATTCCATGAAAATAAAATCAAATGGTAGCTGTTTTGAATATACAAATAAGGGAAAAGAACGAGGTGGGAATTAGAGCTTAAAAAGAGTAGCAAGATAGGCTTTTAAGTGTGGCTTTGAGAAAGAAAGAAAGAAGAAATTGAGAGTGAAACAGGTAGGATGAACTGTCAAAATGCATGACGAAAAAAAGAAAAAGACCATTCCCCTCATTTTGGTTGAAATTCTAACCCCTCTTTATCAAGATTTTTTTTTTAATTTTATTTCATTAATTTATTGTTAAAGATTAACCAATACACTATTACAGTAATAAATCTTCATACACTGCATTTTTCATCAAATATAGACAAATTCACATTTTTTTTGCCACAAAAAATTTCCATTAAGTTGCTTATAAGTGATTAAAATTCTAAAATAAGTATATTTAAAATTATAAGTCTTTTGTAATTCTATACACGCAAAAATAGTCCACACACTTAAAAATCTCAAAATTTGTGTATCCAAAAAAATATCTCAAACTTTGAAATAACGTAAAATTATTCTAAATTGAAGTTGCAAACTCTCTCAATGTATGAAGGCAAACTACAAGATACAAAATAATGCCGAGAGAAGAGGGGGAAAAAATTGTGATGCACTGAAAGTAGATTGTAATAATAAAAAGAGAGAGTAAAGACAGTAGATTGTGATAGAAAAATAAAGAACAAATTTATTTGTTTTCTTTCTGATAACCTTCCGCATTCTGCTTTTTTTTTAATATTATTATTATTGTTTTCTTCCCGCTTTGTTGTTTAACGTGGAAGCTTGGCAATGATTGTTGATACCGTGGCGCAAAGAAACTAGAAAACGCCTCAATGCAATCTCCCACAGTCAAGCGATAAGCATGAACTTATCTATAAAAATTATTTTAAACATGAAGCATTAATTTTTATAAATATACAAAGACAATTTTTTACTATAATAATAATAATAATGTATCAGCTTTTATCAATTAATTAATCTACACAATTAGGATACCCAAAAAAAATAAAAATTAATCTACACAATTGATGATCGTGGTGTTGGTTTAGCGGTCACTCAACTATTTTCTATAAATTTGATATGTTATTTTGTGATTTTTAAATTTAAATTTTTATTATATAATTTTTTTTATAAATTTTGAATTTTTATTTATACCTTTCGTAATTCTTTTCATTTTTCTAACCTTTCAACAAATTTTATTTTTTAAATAGCAATCAAAGGGTTTATTCAATTTTAATAAATTTAAAAAATATTTATTATAGAATATATATTATTAAAAAAACTCTAAAAATGTTATTCTATTACAATATGTCTCTTTGTGTAAGAATTGAGTGAATATATCTTTTTGAAATTAAAGTTTCAAAACATACATTTAAAAATGGACAATACTCTTCTCATGTTAGAGAAGAAAGTGTTGCATTATGCATATATCCATTGAAATTAGAGCTTTTATTTTTTATTTTTTAATTTTTAAAGTGTGGGTCCCACAGAAGTTGTGTCCACGGGAGATAATTATCTATTATTGCATGAGAGTCTATTAACCGTTTAGAAATTACTATTTGATTTTGAAATCTCAATTTCAAGAAACTACATCCTTTTCATTTCCACTCAAAAAACGATATTATTTATGAATGGAAAACTTTAAAATTAAGAAAGAATCACAAATAATTTCCATACATGCAATAGCGAACCTAGGATTTCTTATTATAGGGGCAGAAATAAAATCTTAAAATTATAAGTATTATTAAAATTAATAGAAAATATTAATTATTATAAATATTTTAAAAAGGGGTTAACTACTAGTATTAATAGTTTATTGTTATTAAAAAATATTATTTTGTATATAAAATAATAAACAAATTAAAATTTGGGAGAGACGCCGCCAATGGTAGCACCTCCTTGTATATATGCAAAAAAGTCAAAAAAGTCATGTATATTATACGCTTATGTATGTGTCATAAGAAGTTTCACATGAGCTAATGAACAAATTGATGGGCACTAATATAATTATTAAATTTTACAAAAGAAATTAAATTTAAATTTTTTAAAAAATTATGTATGTAATTTCACATTTAAAAAATGATTCTCTCTCTCAAAAATTATTATTTTTCTCTCTAAAATTGTCTATTTCA